CTGGGGGCACCTGAGCCCTGGGAGAGGAGAGGGAGGGGTGAGGGGGAGAAGACTCTCCCAGGCAGCGCCCTTCAGCTCTGCCATACTGGTTCCCAGAGGAGGACACCCATCGAGGCCATGGCCTCCATCCTCTGTGGGGACTGCAGGGGTGGGGGGTGGGAGGAGGAAGCCCCACTCACATCCGCTGACTGGATGATGAAGTGCCGGGGCAGCCCGTCCCACAGCACGGACAGCACGTACTCCTGCTTGCCCTGGCTCTCCCGCACCAGAAAGTCCCCTGAGCGCACCAGCAGCTCCACAACCTCCGTCCGCGGGATGGCCCCGTGGTACCACAGCTGCTCATACAGGGGCTTCTGCACCTCGGGGACCAGCTGCAGGGGTGGGGGGAGCTGGGCAGGGGAGGAGGATGGAGGGTCACTCAGGCTGCCCACAGGGCCCCTCCATTCTCACACCCACTCCGGCGGCACGTGGAGCACCCGCTGGCCAGGGCTCGCCTTCAGCTCGGCTGGGCTCGGCTGGGATGAGAAGCCGGGCAAGCAGTTCTCCCACCGGGCACTCCTCTCAAAGGGGGTGCTGGGGGCGGCCTGGAAGCCCAGGAGGTAGCTTGGGCAGAGTTTCCTCTGAGGGTATCCTCCTAGTGTGTAAACCACGCGCTCTGGTGGGGGAACCTCTCAGAGACCCCCCCCACACACACCTGGGGCTGGCCCACCCCTCAGGACAGTGGGAGGGGCAGAGCCAGGCTGGGTTCCACTCACCGAGAACTTGGGGCGGAAGATTCCCGTGATGTGGCTCTTAAGCATCTCCAGGGTGGGCGTCCTTCCCCCCTCTCGCTCCTGCTCCTGAGGCCAGGGACAGACGTCAGCGGGTGGCCAGGCTTGGGGAGGGGGAGGGCGACAGTGAGGAGCGAGGCCAGGGCAAGTGGGCCCAGCTGGCGGCGCAGGGCTCGGGTGGGCAGCTCACCGAGGAGGAGGTGGAGTGGCGGTCATCCTGCAGGAGTGGCACGGGGGGCGGCTCCCCGGGGCCCAGCTGCTCCAGCTTGGTCTGCAGAAGCTGCTGCTGGGCCTGCAGCTTGGCCTGACTGCACAGCGCGACCTGCAGCCCCTGAAGGGCCTCTTGCAGTGCCTGCTTCTTGCCCAGCAGTTGCACCCTGTGGGCAGGGGCAGGATTCAGGGAGAGAGGGAGGCTCAGGCTGCAGGTGGAGGTCTGGGAGAGGGAGGGAGGGCAGCAGGAGGTTTGGGGGGGTGGGGGTGCCTGCTCACCGCTCCCGGGGGTGGGTGTTCTGCTCCTCGTCCCAGAGCTCTCGCTGCAGCTGAGCAACTGTTTCCTGCCGGCTGAGCACTGTCTCGGTGGCCAGGGCTAGCTCATCCGTCACTGCTGTCATCCTACGCTCAAGAGGTGGGCAGCGTTAGAACTAGGGTCCCCTTCAAAGGCATCCTTGAAGGGCCCCCCAGCCATAGCTCGTAGGGGCGGCCTCCCGCCCTGCCCCGGCCGCAGGCCGAGGCTGCCACGCACGTGTGCTGCACACTCTCCACCGTCAGCTCATTCAGCTGCAGCTCCCCGGGCTCCAGCGGCTCACCCTCCTCCAGCAAGGACTCATCAAAGGTGACGCAGGGTGGGACATCGGGTGCCGACCTGCAGGGGTCCCAGCGCCCAGTCAGTGACCAGTAATCGGGACCAGCAGGCCTGGTGTCCGGCCAGCAGGACAGGGGCTGGGAGAGGCTTACCCATACTGTTGCAGGAAGCTCTGGTACTCGGCCTCAGGCTGGATGCGGGCAGCAGCTGCCGCCATCTCCTGGTGAATGGCCACCACCTCCTCCTGCACCAGGCTGCTGATCTCCAGGTACTCCTGCAAGATCTCTTTCCTGCCCCCGAGACAGATGACCCGGGGTCAGGGGAGCAGCAAGCTGGCAGCTGAGGGCCTAGAACACGGGGTGTGACCCTGTCTGTGGGGTGACCTCCTGCTCACTGATGAAGTCAGCTCTCCCCCACATGTGCTGTGGGAATAATGAGAGCTCCTGCCTTGTGGAGTAGTGACAGAAAGCCAATGAGATGACATGGGCGTGACATCTGTGTACAGGAAGTGTCCAGCCCTGTCCTGGTCTGGACTCTGGGCCACCAACATTTCACTGAGCCAGTCCTGACCTGCCTCAGATAGCCAACACAGTGACAGCTCTCAGACAGCCCTCCCCACCACCCCACTGACGTTAAACTTGCTCTTTCAGTAGCCTTCTCCTTGTTAAGTTCATGGCCATGTCACCTTCCACCCGCATGAGCCCCATCGTGGCGGTGGTGGCCCTGATAACGTCCATTTGGAATCCAGAGGAAAGCCTACCATCTCCTGCTTCAGAATGCACCCAGGACCCAACCAGTCCCTAACACCTCCGCTGCTACTGCCCTGCTCGGAGCTGCCATGGTCTGTCATCAGGACTATGGCTACCACGTCCTGTCTGGGGCCCCGGCCTGTCCTCACCTGCTGACGTTTCTTCTCCACGCAGTGGAGGAGCTAGCTCATTCATGTCGAGGGTGGTTCTCTCAGTCTTCCCTGTGGTCTCCTGGAGCCTCTATTGCCCGGCCCCTGAGGCTCCATCTGGCCCTACCTCCCCTCACTCTGTAAGCTCCGAGGCCCTCGAGTTCCCGAAAGCCTTGGGCACTGGCCACCCCAGAGCTGGCACACCTGCTGTTTTCTCTTTTTCTGGAAGGTCGTTCCCCAGGTAGCCCCATGGTTAACACCCTCACCTCCCTCGGTTCTATCTAAACATCATCTTCTCAACGAGATTTTCCCAGACCATCCCAGTGAAAACTGTAGCTCCCTCTCGGCTTTCTCCTCTTGCCTCTGCAGGGCTTTGGGTCTTACTTATTAACGTTGTGGATTTTTTTCCCTCTCTTCTAACACGACAGACCCCCTCAGGACGGATATTTTTGTCTGCTTTGTTCAGCGCTCCATCACAGTCCAGAGCCTTGCTCAATACTCGCAACAAAGCTCCATAAAGGGTCTAGGGACGGCCCAATGAGGCTGTTTCAGTTCAGCCGACTCTGACCACCCTCTGTGGGTCGCCCGCCAGTGCAAGTACCTCCCTCCACCCACTGCCATGCCCACTTGCCCAAAACACACTCCTGGCCACCCTCTGATGTTGTCTCTGGCCCCTGGAACAGGAGTGGGAAGAGAGTAGGACACCACCCTGGAGATGCGTCAGAGGCACAGCTTGGGAATCTCCTGCCCAAGTTCTCATATGAGAACATGACCTGCCCTTTGAAAGACTTGAATTTCCTGGCCCCTGCCTCTGAGCACGGTGACAGGGCACTGGGGCTATTGTGGAGATGGCGGGGCTGAGGGCTTACAAGATACACGTCATGTCCTGGTGCAGGTCCTGCAGCGACTGCAGCAGGCTAGGCAGCATGAGCTGGTGATGGTGCTGGTGATGCAGCTGGGCCGCCCGCACGCCCAGCACATAGCGGTTATGGTGGGCTGAGAGCTTCCACAGGCTGCGTACATACTTGTCCTTGGCTTTGTCACGATCCTTGTCTGTGAGCAGGGGATGAGGGGCACATTGACTAAGGCAGCCTTCTTCCCTTGGGCCCCCTGGGCAGGTTAGGACTGGCTTGGGGTTCAGCATCCTTGCTGCCAAACAGGGGGAAAGCACAAACCTTTGTTGGCCTCTTGGTACTTGCGCCGGGCCTGGGCGCTATCCCGGGCCAGGGCTCGGTACTGACTCTTCAGCTTCTCAATGTCCTGGCTATGCGTCTGTGGACAGAGGAGGGCACCATGGCTTAGCAGTGCGGGCAGGCAGCACACCCACGCTCGTCTTCCAGGGCAGGCCCAGCTGGGGACCTTTGGGGCAGCTGACCACTGAAGTTAGGGTCAGATAGGCATTTAGGTAGAAGCAGATGGGTGGACTGGGCAGGTTACAACTGTCTTATTTTGGCTTTAAACTGGTGTCTTTGTGGCAAGTAGAGCCAGAGTCGTGGACTTGTGACCTGCCCAGCCACACAGAGCCCATGGTAGCAAAGCCCCTGGATGGCGAATACAGAAACCCTCAGTTACTAACTGAATGGTCGGTGGTGGAGACTGCCCAGTTGCACTGTGACGCTCGCTCACGAGGTCACTGTGTGTTGGAATTGACCTGGCGGCAGTTGGTTCGGTGGGGTCGTGTGCTTCATCGATTGCTCTCCTGTATTGGACTTCTTAATGCTTTTGGGGTTGTTTTTTTTTTTTAGCAAGAAACTCCACATTTCTGTTTAGGGTGACAGGAACAACAGATGGCACTCTGAGACAGAGTTCCCATCCCAGCTCCCTGGGAAGCTGTGCACCAACACTGCCTCTCTCTCCAGCTTGTTTCCTCACCGAGAGCTCAGAAGACTAGCCTTTTCCTTTAAGGGACAGAGTACTTCGTTTTTGTAGGTCATTTAGTCCCTTACTACTCACCTCTGCCTTTGCAGCAATACAGTCATCATAAACGATGCGAAGGCAAACAGGCATGGTTGTGATCCAGTGCACACTGTTGTCTACAACTCGCTGGATTAAGTACGAGAGGAGTAGGGCCTTGCTGGCCACCAGGGGCCGCTGTGGGGCCATGGCAAGGCCTGTACTGGTGGCAGCAAGCTAGTATAGGGGCCTGGCCAAACTTGGCCATTGAGTCAGACTCATAGCGACCCTATGGAACAGGATAGAACTTCCCCTGTGGGTTTCCGAGGCTGTGACTGTAAATCTCTATGGGGGTAGAAAGCCTCATCTTTCTCACGTGGAGCAGCTCGGGGTTTCAAACTGCTGACCTTGTGGTTAGCAGCCTAACATGTAACACATTCTGCACCAGGGCTCTTAGGGGGCCTGACAGGATAGTGAATGAATGGGGAGCCTAGAGCACCCAAGTAAATGGCCATCCCCTAACCACACAGACCAGGGAGGCGAGTGGGATTCAAACTGAAGGAGGCTGGCTTCACAGACCGACACTTGACCATTATGTCAGGGGACCATGCTATTGCTGTATAGCGTCTTTGGAGACGCCGGGAAAAGGCCTGAGGAGATGCTTGCTGAAGGGCAGGGAAGTGGACAGCTCACGGACAGCCTGGGCCAAGGGCAAAATGATGAGCCCTAATTTCAATCTCTCAGCTTCCCCAGCCCGACAGACCACTGAGGGCAAGAGCCAGATCCTGTTCCTCCCAAAGGCCTGGCCCCAATCGTCACCCCTCTTTTTAAAATCATTTGATTGGGGCGCTTACCGCTCTCATCACAATTAATACATCCATCCATTGTGCATATGTTGCCATCATCATTTTCAAACAGTTTCTTTCTACTTGAGCCCTTGGTATCAGCTCCTCATTTTTCCCCTCCCTCCCTCAGGAACCCTTGATAATTTACAATTTTTTTTTCATGTTTTACACTGACTGCTGTCTCCCTTCACCCACTTTTCTGTTGTCCGTTGTCCCCCAGGGAGGGGGTTATATGTAGATCATCGTGATCGGGTCTCCTTCCCCCCGCCCCCTTCCCTTTACCCTCCTGGTATCACTACTCTCATTATTGGTCCTGAGGGGTTAATCTGTCCTGGACTTCCCGTGTTTCAGCTCTTACCTGTACCCCTGTCAATGCTCTGGTCTAGCTGGATTTGTAAGGTAGAACTGGGGTCATGATAGTGGGGGAGAGGAAGGATTAAAGAACTAGAGGAAAGTTGTCTGTTTTGTCGGTGCCATACTGCACCCTGACCTTTTCCCTCTCCATGTCTTCCTCGGCCATGCACACAGTAGGGAGCTCAGAAGGTGTGCAGAAGCAGGGGGAGGAAACTGCAGCAGGGTTGGGCAGGCCCTGCGGCTGACTTTCACTTCCCCAGTGGGTCCAGGAGCTCTTGTGCAAAAGCTGCGAAAGGGCCCAGAACCCCCCCACCCCTACCCTCCACCCACCTTGGTGAGCTCCTGCTGCAGCTGCTGCCAAAGCTCACTGTAGGTTTTTCGAAGCTGCTGCCGCTCCCGGATCAGCAGGCTCAGCTTGCTCAGGGGCCCAGAGTTCAGATCCTCCGCGTGCTGCCTCAGCAAGCGGCTCAGGCCCTCCGTCTGGCTGGTGATCTCTGCCCAGGACTACAGCGCAGGGTGGGAAGGCAGGGCATGAGGGGGCAATGGCTCCTGAGTCTCCAACCCCGCCAGTCCCCAGTGGGTTCCAGAGAGGGAGAGGGTTGGCAGGTGGGGCCAGCACCCGCTAGGAGTTCCGGGGCCCTCACCTGACTGATGGGGCTGTTGGAACCCGGGCCTCGGCCCTGGGCCCCGCCGTCCTGCAGGGACATGTGGTGCAGCAGTCCCGCGTATTCTCGGTCACTCTTGACCCGCTGGGCCATCCATTTGCGCATGCCCTCCAACAGCCGGAGCTCGGCCTCCTGCAGCCGCTGCACTGCCCCGTGGCCCTCGGGGCTGCACAGCTCCGAAGAGAAGCCCATGGTGCTAAGCTGGGGAACAAGGCAGCAGTTGGAGATGGGGGTGCTGCGTGGTGGGGTGGAGAAGGATGGGGGCGCTGTCATTAAGCAAAAGGCGGGGTTAGCAAGGATTACAAAGAGCAGCCTGGGCTAGGATGAGCCCTCAGGTCGCCTGTGCACTAGGCCAAGCAGGGAGCCAGTAAAGCCCCTCCCAGGGCCCTTCCTTCCACCCTGCACCCGTTTTACAAGGGCTCATGGGCCCTGGCCCTTGACTGGGCTAAGCCCGCACCCAGTTGGTCACTTCAGCCCTCCACAGGCCCCTTCCCATGACAGCTCTCTGCCTGACCACCCCCACCCCCACGGCCCCCCGCCCCGCCGCTTCCCTTCCAGGCTGGAGTTACCCTCGGGGGTAGCCGCTCCTGGGGCAGCCTGGGCCTGACTCGGGTCCCCACGCCGACCTCTGGCCAGTTCCTGATTCCGAGCTTCCTCCTCCTCCTGTGGTTTCAGTTGGCCCAGCACACTCCCCCCTCCCCCGGGGCGGGACCGCTAAGGGGAAGGGGCAGGCGGGAGTGGCCCCCACCCCCCTCTGAGCAGCGCCTGGCCGCAACCTCCGGCCGTCTGTCCGTCCGCAGGGCTGCGGAAACGGAAGGGAGGAGGGGGCCCGGCAAAGAATGGCCCTGCGCAAGAGCAGCCTGCTGGGCCAGCGCCTGGCGAGCCCAGCGAAGCAGCCCATGAGTGCGTTGGGGTGCGCGTGGTGGGGAGGCTGGGCCCTGGGCGAGACCCCTGGAGGGCAGCCTCAGAGGAGGAAGGGGAAAGGCTGGCCCAGGCCTTCCCCACCCAACTGGATCCCCTAAGGAGAAAGAGGCGCCAGCTTTATTTGAATAAAATTTCCAAGGAGGTATTCCCAGGAAAGGCCGCCCTCCCCACCAGGTACTGGGGCAGGGCTGGGACTTGGTTCTCTGTCTCAGGAGCAGTCTAGGTTCAGCCAGGCCCCCACCCCCAGGCATTCTGCTGCACTAGGGCCCCAGTCCTGGCTGCTGGCGGGCAGGTCACAGCAGCCAAGGGAGAGATGGAGCGACTGGCCCACAGGTCCCTGGAGGGGGCTCTTAACCATCACCACCCACCAGTGGAACCCAGGAACTAGGACTTCTTTGGGGGTGGAAATGCTTCAGAGATCCAGGGGGCTCCCTGTCTCCAGCTGTCATCTCCTTCCTCACAAGAGGCTCTTGGTGGGGACTTGAACCACTAAAGAGCTGGCAGGATCCCCCATGGGCCTTTCCCTGGCCCACCCACCTCCCAGGCAGCATAGGGCCCGGGGCCCAGAAAGAACAATACCACCACACTGGAGACCAGGCCTGGTTTGCATAGTCTGCACATTTAATCACTTTAAAACCTCTAACATTATCTCGTGTCCATTAAATAGAATCCAACAATGCTGGGCCTGTTTAAATTACAAGAAAAAAAATCACTGTGCACCAACCCAGTATCTTACAAAACCAGCTGGGCTGGCCACAGGGGACAGTGGAGGGTGGGAGAAGGAGCACCCCTGGGCAGGTGGCTGGGTGCCAGGAGGGGCAATGGGAGAGAAAAGGGAGCTCCCAGATGGGAGGGGACTGATTGTCCTAATGGGAGGGGTGCAAAAGGCACGTCAAAGAGGAGAGTGTGGGGGGCATGACAGGTCAATGCTTTCTTCCAGGGCACAGTGTCAGGGGGGTGCAGTGCCACCGCCCAGCCACCCCTGGTACTAGAACCAATGACCCATGAGCCCTTGGCACGGTGAGCCCCATGTGAAACACAGATGACAGCCTGCCCCCCCTCCGCCCCCCCTCACCCGCAGTAACCCTTTCCTAGGGCCCACGCAGTCAGCCTGTCGTTTCCGGTCTCGGGGCTCAGCTACCTCAGCAAGACGCTGCAGCCCGATACCGCAGGCTGGGGCAGCCTGGGGAAGAGCAGGGGGGCAGTAGGTGTGGGAAAGTGGGTGGTCCAGCAGCTACCCCCCAATAAAAAATACCCCCCCAAAAAATCAGCATCTTTAAGTGAAATCATCACAGAGTGAAAATATATCCTCAAACAGCCCCTGAGATCCCCACAGGGGAAAGCAGCATTGGGTGGAAGGTGGGGGGGACGACCCTCCTAGGCCGCTGTCCCTCCCCACCACCCACCCAGGGGCTCCAGGACTGTGAGTGCCAACAGCCCAGGCAGCCCCGGGCTCAGAAAACAGGGACTTGGGCCCTGGCTGGAGGCGAAGGTGGGAGGGGGGCTCGGCTGGAGTGCCAGCCTGGGCTGGCCAACCCTGCTCAGCCTGGCTGGCCAGCTGTGGAGGCATCAGTGCGGCAGGGCACAGGCGCCCGTGCACACGTTGGCAGCACCTGCTTGCCATGGTCCCTTCCTATGATAAACACTTCTGCTGGAGGCTCATCACACAGGGGAATGGGTTGGGATGCAAAGCCCTTGGAGACATGACCTCCTCCTTCTTCTCGTACCCCGTAGGCCCACCTCCCTGTTGCCAAGATGAGGACCATTATTGCTTCGGAGGAGCACAGCCCGGGCTGCGGCCGGGGCCGGGCACCCCAGAGAAAAGGGCCATGCCTCTTCACTCCACAGGATCGCCTGCTGGCCTGGGCCTTGGAAAGCTGCCCCTCAGCTTTCATGCCATTCTCCACACCAGGGCTGCTGAGGGTGGGCAAGAGGCTGCTCCCGCCACCCCCACCCCCCAAGTCCTGGGACCCCACTGCAGACAGCCAAGTGTTGTGTGAAGCAGTCTGCCCCCCCACTTGCCTCCCACCTGGGGGTCCCAAGCCCAGTCCCAAGATAAAAAAATACTTTGGTGAATTAAAAAGTGCCCAAGAAGGGGGTCGGCTTGCGGGATGGGCAGTGGGCGCTCGTCAAAGGACGCTCTGGTCTTTGATGAAGGCAGTCCTCTCGCCCCGGCCCTCGTCCTCCTCTGAGTCCGATGGGCACTCCTCCTGCCAGGCTTCGGGCGGTAGCCCCTTGTAGGAGATGAGGCCCCGGTCCATGGTGTACACCTTCACCCCACGGAAGCTTAAGCCAGAGCGCAGCTGCAGGACCAGGAAGACAGTGACGAAGACCAGCACAATGAAGGCGCAGCTGAGGCCGGCCACCACCTCGGGCAGGTGGGAGGGCAGCAGGCCCGCCCGCTGGGGCTCCGTCTCCACCTCCGGGGAGGGTGGGGGCAGCTGCTGCGCCGGGGACTCCCGGCTGCTCTGGCTTTGCCGGGAGCATGTTTGTGTCACAGGGTCCAGGGAGGCGTGGCTGGGGCAGCTGAGGCAGTCTGTGGGGGCCAGCCCCTGGCATGTGGCACATGAGTTGTGGCAGGGGGTGCAGACGCTGGCTCGGATGGTTTCCACGTCGTTCTCTGTGCTATAGTGCGTGTTGAGGACGTGGGGAGTGAAGCCTGGTGGGCAGTGCTGGACGCAGCTCTTCTGGTGCAGAGAGAAGCCTTCTTCACACACTGTCAGAGGGAAGGTGGGGAAGGGTCAGCCCAGCTGACCATGGGGATGCAGCCACCCAAGGGCATGTGATTCCTCAGCCCGGGACCACGGCAGACCCGGGAATTGCAACCTCAAGCCCAGTCCCCACTGTCCCCAACTGCAGAATGAGTCACCCCAAGGGCCCCAGGAGCCCCGGGTCTCTTCTGACTACTCTTCCTTTCTCGAGCTAGTCTGTGAGGCAGGCGCCTTCCACCTATCACCCAGCACTCACCCACACAGGCCTGGCTGGACGTGAGGGTCTTGCAGCCGCTGCTCTCGGGGGGTGCGGGCAGCCCCTCCGGGGCTGTGCCATACAGCACAAGGAGAAACTTGGTCAGCGTCCCTAGTCATGATGGGAAGGCAGCAGTTAGGGGGTGCAGGGACCCAGGCCAGATCCCAGGCCTGCCCGAGGGTGGGCCTTTGAGCCCCCTCACCCCTTCTTCCCGGGACTTGGCTACCATAGTTGTTGGCTTCACTGGTGTTTTCGATCTCCAGGACCCACTCGCCAGCGGGGTTCTCATCCCAGGCGTGGGTCGTCATGAAGGCCCAGTCATTAAATCCATCTGCGGAGTAGTCGTGTGGCCTGGGGGCGGGAAGAGGTGTGTGCACTCAGTTCTCTGAGGCTTCAAAGGGCCCCATGCCCACAACAGCTGGGTCATATTCCCTCCCCTGCCGGGCTGGAATTGCCTGCTAGCTGGGCTCTAGTTCCCAGCCAGCATCCTGGCAGCCTGTGAGGGTTCCGGGACTCCCTAGGACAGAATACAGCTGCCCCCTCCTGCACAGGTGTTTCAGGGGGACCGAGTGAGCATGAGGGAAGGTGCATGAGTGACTGCACGGCTCCATGCAGGGGGCAGGGGGTGGGGTGGGGTGGTGGTGTCAGGCACCTGGCAGCCAGCAGGGTGGAGCGGGTGCCCATGGGGCTGACCAAGTGGATGGCCAGATCGCCACGGCGATTATAGGACAGGGTGAGCCTGGCCTGAGCGTGCTCCAGCCGGGTGATGTGGTTGGGCTCCCCGAGGCACGCGGTCACAGTCTTCCGCACTTCGAGCCGCTTCCCGATGTCCCTGTGTGGACAGCGTCATGGTGGTCTCTTACCCGTGAGCCTCATGCCACAGAGCCCACTCGCCCCTGCCCAGCCTGGCTCCATCCTCACTTGGGTTCTGTGAGGATGTCGATGATGCACTTCCTCTGGGGGGCCACGGTCGTCCAGTTCTGGGCCAGGGCCACCATGGCGCCTGCGTCCAGTAGCCCATAGCCATAGGAGTGGCTCACTGTGGGGCAAGAAGACAGAGTCAGCTGGGAAGCACAGAGGGACCCAGCCTGCCCCAAAGCCTAGCCCCGCGACCCCTGCGCTCACCTCTCCGGCCCACCCCGTTGGTGGCCCAATCGTCAGCACTGAGGTGGGCCGGCTTTGAGGTCTGTACCACCAGGTGCTGCATGTCTCTCCAGGTGAGGTTCTTACTGCAGAGAGGGAGAGGCCGGGGCTCAGTCTTTTGTTCAGCCAAGCTGGGGACTAAGAGCTGCTTGGCAAGAAAGTAATGGTGGGGGTAGTGCCCTGCCCCCCAGCACCCCCACCCCCACTTACTTGGCCTCCAGGGTGAGAGCGATGATGCCAGCTGCCAAGGGGGCTGAGGCTGAGGTGCCTGTGTGCGACTCTGTGCACTTCTGCCGCAAGTCAGTGGTTACCTACCGAAGCGACAGTGGGGTTGGGATGTAAGAGGACAACAGGGACAGAGAGGCTGTCTGCCCCCCACCCCCACACACTGCCTAGGAGTCCCTGCTCCAGATGGTGGCCAGCCAAGGCCGAGACACCTCGTTCCAGCTGCTCCCTTGGGAGCATGCTGTGGACAGGTCCTCTGTGGCCTGCAGTTTGCTGAGGGGCAAGGAGGTTCAAGTAGAGGCCTGAGATCAATGGGGGCGCTATGAGGGGGCTTCAAAACGCTGGTGGAAAACCCCCACGATCGTTTTGTTCTCTTTCTCCACAAACTCTTTGAGGGCCCCTTGCACATGCTTTCAGGGAGTACCCATGGTGGGGGTGGGGGTACCCGAGCTGCTCACGCTCGGAGATGCCCGGGGCAGCATGTCCAGCCCTGCCCGCCGGGGCCCCACTCACGATCTGCTTCTCGTTCTGGTTGCCGCTGCTGTAGGTGGTGGCCAGCGTGGACGAGCAGGCCTCGCTGTACCAGGGCACGTTGCCGAACTGGGTGGCGCTGCTGATGGACAGCGTGTAGATGCTGTTGGTGTAGCCGTCGCAGTTGCAGCTGTCGTGTTCCCGGCCCCCGTTCCCCGAGGCCCAGACAAAGATGGAGCCCAGTCCCTGGCGGCCCTGGGGACAGAGTGGGCCGGGGTCACTCGGCAGCGGGGTCCTGGCAGGAGTCTGCTTACAGACTGCCGAGGCTGGGGATTCCTTCGCTGCCTTTGCCCTCACCCCCCCACTCCCCATCCGTTCCTGGGCCCCTGAGAGAGCCAGTGTGGGTCAGGTGCCTATGTCCCTGTGCTGACTTCAGACCTCGGGGGAGGGGCTGTTTGCTTTTCTCTGTCTGTTCCTGTCTTGATAAGCACACTTTGTATACAATTAAAGTTAAATGCAAGAATAAGGAAAAGAATAGAAACACACAAGGAGGCCCCTGAGGGTTGGCGGGCTGGGCCCGCCCCTCACCTGGTTGACCCCCCGGCTGAAGGCCTCCTCAGCGAGGCGGGCCGGCCCATCCACTGTCTTGCCGTCATCCTCAGGGCCCCAGCTGGCGCTGTAGATGTGGATGTGGTTGGGGTTCAGGCCCAGTGAGCGTGCCTCCACCGCATCAGTCACCTCGCCATCCAGCATGCGTACCCCTGGCCATGGAAGGGGCGGGGAGAGGGATGCTGCATGGGTCCTGCTGCCAGGGGTACCCCTAGTGCTCCCCCAGCTCTGCAGCACCAAGGGAGGGCAGGGGGAGGGGAGAGGCCAGTATGGGGTCTGACACAGGTGCTCGGGACTCCTGACTCCCTAACTACTCTGCCTTTCAGGGTGAGACGCTGGGGAGACAGCCCCCTCATACCACACCTTCTGGATGAGAAGGAATCTCTGGGCGTTCAAAGGAGCCTCAGGGTGGGCTGTGAGGGGCACCGCCCACCCTGCCAGAGTGGAGTGTCCACCCACAGGATCCACAGGGAGCAAGTGGCTGGCAGCAGCCAGATGGGAGGTGGGCAGAGAAAAAATCCACTTGAAAGGCTCCACCCCAGAGTCAGGGTGGTTGGGGCCCCCACCCACCTCCAATGCGGGCATTGAAGGCCACACCTACACCGCAGACACCGTTGTTGGCCACTGCGGCCACCTCACCAGCACACCGGGTGCCATGCCTGCCGGGCCGAGAGATACCATTATGGAGGCAGGGCAGACCCACCCCGCTGCCCAGGACCACCCCACATGGCCTCCACACAGCCAGGGCCAACCTGCCCTCAGGGCCCGGCTGGCCCAGGGCTTCAGTGGAGAGCTCCCGGCTCTGCCTTGCCTCCCTGGTGGGCAAGAGAAGGGGGTGCAGGTCAGAGCCCGCCGGCACTCACCGGTTGTCATTCATCTGTGTGTACCGCGGCTGGGGGTCAGGGTCCTGGTCGTTTACATCGAAGCTGGCTCCAGGGTCCTAGATAGGACACGGCTGTAGTCAGGGCCGGCCTGAGCCCACAATAGTACAGGGCAGCCCCCGACACACCCACGCCAGGGGCAGGGACTGTTGGCTGCCTGCTCCCCGCCTCCTCACATAATTGCCTGCCAGGTCCGGGTGGTTCTTCTCAATGCCGTCGTCCAGGATGGAGACCACAATGCCGTGCCCCGTGTAGCCCTGTGCCCAGGCCTCCTTCACGTTCAGGTCCCGCTGGGGGATGCCAGACTGTAGAGAGACCCATCCCGTCACCCTAGTACTGATGGACCTCCTCCTCCACCCATCCCTGCAGAAAGGCCACCAGGTGCTGGTGGATTAGGGAGGGCTGGCTGGACAGAAGGAATCAGAGGCGGCATCTTCAGATCGGCCTGCGTACATACCCTCCCAGCCGGGGAGGAGGAACAGGGAGGTGCCATACCAGGTACCACTGCTGGGGAAACTTGGGGTCCGTGGGCTCCAGGTACACATCCCTTTTGGTCCTCCGCTTTGCCACCTGCTGCTCCAGCCATCGGACCTGTGAGGGAGTGAGACCAGCTGATGTGGTGTGGGGAGAGCGAGGGGGGGGGGCGCTCGGCAAGGGGGCTGGAGCTGCTCTCACTTGAGGCTCCCTCTGCAGCCGGCTGTGCCGCAGGCGGTGAGGCGACAGGGACCGCTTTGTCACTGCTCGATGCCAGAAGTGGTAATAGTCACCAACAATCTGCAATAGAGCAGGGAGATTTCCATCTGTCAGTCCTCGGGGAGGCGGGCACAGTGGGGGTGGACAGTGGCATGGGGGGAGGAGAGGTGCCCGGCACAAGGGGTGCAGCTGCTCCTTGCCCAGGACCCAGCAAGAGCTGAGCAGGGGCCTGAGCGGCTGCCCTGGTTGGAATATATTGGTCCTCCAAGGCCCCGGCAGGACAAGCTACTGCTCCGCATTACTTAGATGCCCCAGGGAAACAAGCCCAATTGCCCCTGCTTCCCGCACTAGAAGCCCTGCCCCCCAACCAGGTAAGAATACCCACCTGGCCCAGGTTGAGGAAGCCATGCTTGCGTGCCAGACTGTCAGCCACGGCCAGGCCTTCGGGGATGTGCACAGCCCATGTGTTGGTGAAGACCTCCTGGCCATGGGCATCAGCTGCCAGCAGGACCAAGGCTCCTGCTGCTGCTACTACCCATAGCAACCAGGGCCTCAACTCCATCAGGGGCAGGTGGCTGGGACCCTGGAGCTCCTGTCCCCTGGGCCTGGTCACAGGGCCTCGGCCCCCAAGTGCCTGCTCACTGCCTATGGCCTGTGGTTGGCTGGTGGGGGTATGGGTCCATGACGGGCTGGGCTGAACTGAGCGGATGAAGGCTGTCCTGGGGGCTCTGAGAAGAAAAGGGAGAAGCAGAGGGTCGGTCTGGACCTGCCCCACACTAGAGTTGCCCTTCCCAGCCCTTCCTAGCTCAACGCAGACCACAAAGGGCAACTGGAGGGGGTGAGAATGAGCCTCCCCAAGAAACCCAGCCCCTCAAGGTCAACTGGACTGATGGAAAGATGGACCCCACATACAGGTAGACACAAGATGGGCGCAGAGTCTACCAAGGCTGAGTCACTCAGACTCAGGGACAATTAAGGGGGAAAAGAGGTAGAAAAGATAGGTTTATACTGCAGGATGTACACACAATCCGATTTTGTTTTTAAAGAACTATTTATACATGTGTATTTATACACAGCCACAAAACAAAATCTGGAAGGACACATGCGAAAATGTTAACAATGGTTCTCTTGGGGTGCTCAGAATTACGAGTAATTTCTCCGTGTCTTTGTATAGTCTCCAAACTACCTGGGTATATTTTGTAAAGGAAGAAAATGTTGGCTTTTCATTTCCTCACCCCTCAAATATGAGGCACCCCACACAACTCCCTGGGCTTTCTTGGTTTAGCAAAGCCAGCCCAGCCACAGCGAGGTAACTGCACAGCCCCTGGGGGTAAGGAGTGGGTGACCCTCACTGGGAAGGGCTCTGGGGAGGTGAGGACCAGAGTGGGCTCCCTTCCCTCTATGCTGTGGCCCAGACAGGTGGGCAGCCCAAGGTCAGGGGTGCTAGATCATCTTCCACTGTCTCCTGGGACACATTGGGGCTGTGTGAGCCCTGTCCTACCTGGACCCAAGGGCCCCCAGTCACCAGCTAGCTCACTCCACGCCCACCAGCTTGCGTAATTCGAGCTTGGGCAGCCAGGACAAACAGGCTGCAGAGCCAGGAGTGCCAAGGTGAGGCTGAATCAATACTCCTCCTGTTGTTTTTCCACCTTCAGCCAACAGACAGGAGGACCTCTCTGCCCGGGGCCACATAACTGTCCCCACATTGCACCCCTGATGAGCCAGGCCTTGGCCCTAGAGAGGAGGCAAATTGGGGGAGGTCCCCGAGGAGGTTCCTAAAGGTAGTTTATCTCAATGCCAGGCTTGGTGGGGAGCATGTTTGTCCACAGGGCCCTGGGTACCCTTACTCCTCCCCTGGCTAGCCCCATAGACCACTCTGTACTGGATGGCACAGGGAATCTAGTCCACCCAGGCCTGGGGAGCTGGACAGATGACGCCACCTGCTCCGAACCCCTCATTTTCGAGGCGCTGCTCTCTGCCATGATGGGTCTGTTGGCAGCATGCCTGCCCTGATGTCCCACACCCCACCCCACAGGCTTGGAGTTGGTGGGGGGGCAACTCCATACACCATTCCTGGAGCATTTTCAGTTTACACCAAAATAACCTGACAGCTGATGGGGGTTGGCCTCCACCGTGTCAGCTCCTCCTCACCCCAATGGGCAGAGTCCACAGGGCAGGCCTGAGAGCCACAGCCCCGGAGGCCTTGGGCCTGAGCAGTAGCTGGGCAGACACCCGGCCTAGAAGGTGAAGGAACCCCACAGGCTTATTTAGAGGATGTGGACCCCCACCCCTGGGGCAAAGCCTCTTCTCCCCTCAAGCCACAACAGCTGCTCGTGGGTCCCGAGCCCATGCAAAAGCCCACCTTATCACAGCGCCGAGTCCCACAAGTATCCCAAAGCTGGCAGGGGCTGGCCCAGGTCCCCACAAGGTGTAGATCGAACCACAACTGCCTGACGTTAAAGGTGATTAACCAACTACTTAATGACCTTGCAGCACCCGGAAAGAAAGCAGGCTTTAGGCAACACCCAAAAAGACAGCCCAGTATCCTGAGTCGTGGTGAGGGTGGGAGCCTCCAACCCACCAGAGAGGCCTGTCTCAGCATCCAGGAAAAAGGGAGGACCCTCCCCACCCACCCCCAACCAGAGCCTGAAGCTGAGAACAATGAATGAATGGGCTTTCCCACCCCCCACCCCCCCAGCATCACAGACTGACTCACCCTTAGAGTCCCTGCTCCTCTCAGATCCGGAGGGAGGCTAGTATTTCTGGGCTCCGTGATCCCCTCTTACTCAGGACTGGCTCTGAGGGCTGTGGGTGCTCTGCCTGGCCGTGCTCCAGGGTCTTTTTTCTCCAGCCCTGGCCACCCCAACACACACAGAGCCCTTCCAGTGGTGGGCCAGCCCCCAAACTGTCTCCACCTCAGTGCCTGGCTGCTGTTTCCCAGGCCCCTGGGGGATCTGTGGGACACTGCCACCACTGGAGGGTTGTCTCAGAAACCCGATCCCGGCTCTCTTTCCAGCAAACAGCCACCAAGCCAGGTCCTGTTACAGCCTCTAAGAGGCTCTACTGAAATCCTGACTTTCAGTCCAGGCCCAGCCGCACATTGGCTGTGTGATCTTAGACAAGTCACTTCCTCTCTCCGAGCCTCAGTTTCCTTGGTGGTAAAAACTGCTACACCAGCTGTTTTCAAACTTTCTTTTTATAAAGCCACAGAATCCTTTCATTTTATTTATTTACTTTTAATCAAGCCGTATATAGAAGTCCAATAAAGGAAAAGTCAAGCTGAGGCTACTGTGTTCGAAATAGGGCAAGCCTTGAATAGGGCATGCCCTGGCCCCATTCCTGTGCTGTGTCCACACCTGGCCAGTAGCTCCCAAGCCTCCACTAGGCCACACCACCTGGAGTTCCCCCTTCCCCGATGCACTTCTCGGGACCACTTTCCGAACTCGGTGGAAAGTCAAAGTCAGGGAAAATTGCACGAGTCTCCACAGCTAGAAGATCCGCCAGCGCAGGGGCAGAGGGGTGGGGGATGGTGAGAATGCAGGTATAAACCAGACAAATGAGGGCTGTCACACCTGTCTGGCATGCAGGCCGCCCCTCCGTCCAGCTCCCCCTCGGCGGGAGCAGGGGACCCTCAGCCTAGCCTTCCGGGGAGGCAGAGGGGAAGCTACCTGAGCCAGCCTCCCGGCGCCCGCAGGCTCCACACCTGAGTCCTCGCCCCACACAGGTGCGCGGCGGGGGCGAGGCCCGGCCCGTGAATAATCCCCTCCGCCTTGCCCCCAGCCGCTCCTCCCCTTCCCCCGCGGGAGCTCGGGCCCTCGCCGGCCGTGGCCCCGGGAGGCGGGAGCACCCAGAGCTCCGGAATGCTCTCCCCATCCCGCCCCCAGCAGGGGCCTCCCAGGCGCTTCCTGAGGTCAGAGGGCTCGCCCTGGCCGCCAGCGGAAAAGTACCG